TTTTAAAAGGAATGGGTATTGCTATTTTGTCAAATACTTTTTTTAATCAACTTATTGACATAATCATATTTTAAAATTATTTTGTTATTAATATAGTTAATTATTCTGATAGTTTTTCTAGTATTGAACCAGCTCTGACTTTGTAGTATAAATCCCTCCTGCTCATAGTGCATGATCTTTGTGGTATGTTGCTGTAATCTCCTTGCTAGTATTTTATTTTTAATTTTTACATTGATATTCATTAAGGAAATTGGTCTATAGTTTTTTTTTTTACTTGGGTTTTTTTTTTTCTCTCTCCATGATTTAGTCATCGAACCATTTTGTATCATAAAAAGAATTTGTTAGGACTCCTTCTTTACCGATTTTGCCAAAATAGTTGATACAGTATTAGGATTAATAGTTCCTTCAATGTTTGGTAGAATTCACTTTTAAATCCATCTGATCCTGGGGATTTTTTCTTAAGGAGCTCATTGATTTCTTGTTCAATTTCTCTTTCTAGGGTTATTTACATATTTTATTTGCTCTTTTGTTAATCTGGATAATTATATTTTTGTAAACATGTATCTATTTCACTTAGATTATCAGGTTTATTGGCATATGATTGGGCAAAATAGTTCCTAATTATTGATTTAATTTCATTGGTAGTGAATTCACTCTTTTCATTTTTGATACTGGTAATTTGGTTTTCTTCTTTTTATTTTAAATCAAATTAACCAAAACTTTATCTACTTTTTTTTTAATAAAACCACTTCCTAGCTTTATTTATTACTTAATGGTAGTTTTACCTTCAGTTTTATTAATCTCTACTTTGATTTTTAGGATTTACATTTTGGTGTTTAATTAGAATTCGTACTTTTTTCTAAATTTTTTTTTAGTAGAATGTCCAATTCATTGAGCTGCTCTTTCTCTCTTTTACTGATGTATGCATTGAGAGATATCAATTTTCCCCTAAGTACTACTTTGGCTGCATCACAAAAATTTTGGAATGTTGCCTCATTGTTGTCATTCTCTTTAATGAAATTATTGATTGTTTCTATGATTTGTCCTTAGACACACTCATTCTTTAGGATTAAATTATGTAGTTTCTAATTACCTTTTAATCTATGTTCCCATGGCCCTTTATTAAATGTAATTTTTATTTCATTATTGTCTGAAAAGGGAACATTTAATGTTTCTGCTTTTCTGAATTTGGTTGTGAAGGTTTTATCAAATTTTGTGAAAGTTCCATGTGCAGGTAAGGAAAAGGTATTCTGCTTTCTATTTCCATTCAGTTTTCTCTAGAGTTCTATCATATCTATTTTTTCTAAGATTCTATTCATGTCTATTACTTCATTCTTATTTATTTTATAATTAGATTTTATAAAGCTCTGAGAGGGTAAAGTTGAGGACTCCCACTAGTATAGTTTTACTACTTTATTTCCTCCTGTAATTCATTTAACTTTCCCTTTAAGAATTTGATGCCATGCCATTTGGTGCATACATATTTAATATTGCTTTTACTTCATTGGCTGTGGTTCCTTTTTGCAAGATGGAATTTCCCTGCTTAAGTCTGTTAATTATTTAATTCTATTATTTTTGCTTTTGCTGTGTCTGAGATCATACCTCTTTCTTTTTAACTTTAGCCGAAGAATAATAGAATTTGCTCCAGCCCTTTATTTTAAATCTATGTGTGTCTTTTTGTTTCAATGTGTTTCTTGTAAACAGCACATTGTTGGATTATGGTTTCTAATCCATTCTGCAATTCCATTGTGTTTCATGGATGAGTTCATCTTGTTCACCTTAGTTATGATTACTAACTGCATTTCTCTCCATCTTATTTTTAAAATAAAGGAAAATACAAACATTCATAATATTCCCCACTCCCAATCCCAATACCCTAAAATTGAACGTCAATAAAAACACATGAAAATAAAACCCCATTATAAACATTGTAATTCAGCAAAATATATTCCCCCATTGTCCATTCCAGAAAATGTATATGTCTTCCTACATTTTCAGTTCATGTACTCTTTAGGTGGAGGATTAGCATGTTTCATCTTCAGATGGGCTCAGAGTTCACATTGCATGAGTCAGAATTCTAAAGTCTTTCTGAGTTGTTTTTCTCCATAATGTTATTGTCATTGTATAAATTGTATTCCTAGTTTCTTTGGTCTGGATCAGTTTGATCTACCCAGTTCGATCTAAAACTGTCCATGTCAGTGATTTCCAGGAGAATGACTGTGAAAGAAAGGAAAAAAAAAATGTAGGACAACTAACATGGGTGGATTCTGGCATGAAATAAAGGGATTTTTGTTAGTTTGGCTTTGGTTTTAACTATGAGGGAACCTGAGTTTGATAGTAATAAAGGAGCCTGTAGCCCTGAGGTAGATAGGGAATGATTGAGTATTAGAGGTAGGAGGTAAATGAAAGAGAGTTATGAGAAGAGATGGAAGGAGATGAGATCAAGGGTGAAAGGGTTGACCTTCTCAAGGAGCAAGGCCATATCAGGGGCTAGAGCAGTGGAGGGTAGAATGGGTAATTACATTAAGTGATTTTTTGTAAAAAGGAAGACAGAACTCACACTGGATGCCTTTTTTTCTGAAAAAAAGTAGGAGAGGTCTACTACTCTGAGGGAGAATGAGGTTGTTCAGGAGACTTGAGAGAAAAGAATATTTGGAATGACCTCTATGGGGTATGTGATAGAGAATTGCTTAGGGAAGAATAACAGGATTTTCATGCAGCACTGAGCACCCAATTGAGATTAGTTAACATAAATTTCTAGTGAACCAGATCACTCAGGTTGTGTGACTTACTGTAGAATTATTAGAAAAGGGGAGGGGAAGTGACTAAGTATTTATATTCTGCCTACTACCTGCTAGGCACTATGCTAAGCACTTTGTACATATGATCTCATTTGATTCTCACACAGCCCTGTAGGATAGTTGCTATTTTTATCATCTCCATTTTAAAATTGGGGAAACTGAGGTGAATGGAGCTTAAGTGACTTGACCAGGGTCATACAGCTAGGAATTGTCTGAGAACATATTTTACTTCAGGCCTTCCTGACTCTAGGTTTGATTTTCTAGTCGCTGTGCCCCCAGCTTCTTCTATTTAGCAGATGATTGATCCCCTAAGGTCTTTTCCTAGGCTAAGACTACAGAATAACTAGTATGTCTCTGATCTGATACTGACCAGGTTTTTGGGATGGGCAAGTCCCCTCATCTCTGAGTCTCAGTTTATCTGAGTCTCATTTTTCCTCATCCATTAGCTGGGGATTCAATGAACAGACATTTATTAAGGGTCTGCTAAATGAAAGGGACAGTGAGAATGACTGTCCCTACTTGGACTCAATGGTGTTATTGTGAAGAAAGGGCATTGTAAGCCCTAAGGCACTGCAGAAATGGAACTGATGTGATGATGCCACAGGACAGGGTGAAGGTGGTGTCATCTCTGTAGAAGTCACTAAGTATTCTGTTGTTTTGAAAACTTGCCATCCCTGGATGGGGAAAACAGTGGGAGAGATACACAGAAGAACATGGTGGGGAAGAACAACTGAAAATGCTGAAGTCAGAATGAAGTGGGGGCTACTGTAGGCATCTGTAAAGTGAATTATTTGTGACTAATTAAACTGCTCTTTGATGATAATGATGGTGATAATGTGCTACATGGTTTAAAGGCACTTTGCAAATTTTATCTTATTTTACCCTTACAATAATTCTGGAAGGATATGAGCTATTAATATCCTTATTTTATAGATGAGGAAACTGAGACAGATAGAGCTTAAGAGACTTACCAAGGGTCACAGAGCTCGGGTCTAAGGCAGGATTTGAACCCAGGTCTTCCTGACTACAAGTCTAGCACTCTAATTCTGGTAGCTTCTATAGCTAGAGGAGGTAAAATTTCTAAAAGTAGTCTATCTTTATCCCTTCACTGCTGACCCATGACAACCTTCATTTTAAAACATAATGGAGCTCCAAGGACTTGACTCTAGTTAGAGCTAATCCATCCATTTAATATATCCACTTTAATTTAGGAAAAGTATCAGCCATCCCTCTCTTCTTCTTCCCTCCTTCCTTGTTTCTTCTTTTTTTCACTTTATATACTATTTCATTAGACTCACACACAACAGTGGAGTATAAATAGTGTGAGTATTTTGATCTTTATTTTACATATAGGAAAAAGGAAACTAAGAGTAATGCAATGACTTACCTAGGGTCATATATCTAGTGAGGGAGGTAGGTCAGCATGGTGCCATAAAAATAGCCCTGAATTCAGGGTCAGTGGACCAAGGGTTTGAAGCCCAATCCTAACTTAGTAGTTCTATAAACTTTGGGAGTTACTTGGATCATTCCTCAGGACCTCGGTTTGCTCACCTGCAAAATGAAGGGGAAGGGGAGGGGGTCTTAGACTACATAGTCCCTAAGGTCCCTTCTAGCTCCAAGTCTGTGACCTTAGGAAGTGGTAGAATGGGAACTCACACTCAAGTCATCTGCTTCTAAACTTAGCATTCTACCTATGATGCTGTGCTATCTCTCCAGAGAAGATAGGCGAGGATCAGGGAGAGTAAAAGACAAGCTTCATTCACCTGCTGAATTATTTTGCCTTAGGCTCACTTCAGGTTCAAAGAAATAGTATTATCATTTTTACTTAGGCTCAGAGATGATTGGATAACTCCCTGTATCTACTTAAAGCTTCCAGCAAAGGCTGACCTTGATATGTTCCCAGATGTACTTTGTAGCCTGCTTATGACTTCAATTGTTTTTGAGTCTTGAATTGCTATTCTTCTCCAAGCATATTCCATATGTGGAGTCTACTATACCTTGCAATTTTTGACTGCTAAGAGACATCTGGCTGGAAGTCCTATGTTCCTATGCTGCTTTGTACCAATAAAAACTACAAAATAGTTTTGCCTGTGACATAGTCTTCTGTCATGAACTCAGGAGATTATGTCATAGTAAGGCTTTTAGGAGTACAAATAGTTCTGGTATAGTGGAAATACCTTAGAGTTTCAGGATGTGACCCAGGCACTTAGATCTGGCCCAGACATTTAGACAGGGGTGGCCTTTGGAAATCTCTTAACTTTTCTGATACCATTTCTTGATCTGTAAAATGAGGTTAATAAAATGAGACAAGGAGTGAATCAAAGGAGTCTCCGTTCAATTTGAGGAAATTGTCCAATTGAGTTGATGAGGTTACCCAGCATGAGCTATCCTTTGAAGGCAACTGAAGAGCATTTCCCAATGAGAATGTGAACATACCCACAGATGACTTGTTGATAGGAAGGAACTGAGGGTAAGTTACCACTATCTGTGTCTTATAAAAGAAAGATGGGTAGTATTCTGGGGCTCTTACTCTGAAGGAGTTTTTTCTCCCTGTGCCTTCTTCCATATATTTGATTACCCCAAGCAGATAGTGACTTATAGCAAAAAAAAACAAAAAACAAAAAACAAACAGACAAAAAAAACCGCAGAGCAGTGGCAGACACACACTTGCATATAGCTTGAGGAGGGGTATGTGCTCAAGGACACTATTCCTGAATCCCAAATTCCTTTGTAAATGAAGAACCCATTTCTAATTCACTAGAAAGTATAATCCTAGAATCTAGCCTCTTAGGTAGAGAAGGAAAATTTGTTGGGCTGCAAAATCTTTAGGGGTTTTCTTTATGGGTAAATCCAAATCCGAGAGTTAACATAATTTCAAAGTTCAAGACTTAGAAAGTTTCAGCTTTCTAATGAGAGATTTGTGTTCCTTTAAGAAAGAGGAGGGCATTCTGCATAGTTCCTACTTAGAGTCCTACTTGGAAAGAAAAGTCATTGGGTTACTGAGACAGTATGATTCTGATGGAAAGGGTATTGCTTGTTCAGCAGTCTCCAAGGTAGACTTCCAGGGGGTGTCTAAATCATGGGATGGTACTATGAGTTTGAAGGAGACTATCTAGTACTCTCTATGAAAGAGTTACTCACTGGCATTGGCAGAGGGTTACCCAGATAAGAACCCCAAGTTCAGTTCTCTTCTCAGAGAATGCTGAAGGGCTGTTTGAAGGCTTTATAGTTCAGTAATTTGTTCATGGGCTTCTGTAATTTTTTAGTGTATGACGTATTTTCTTTGTGGTAAAATAAAGACTCTCCCATACCCTGTATCCACATTGTTGATTGAGTGCCCGTGCCTTATTTCTGAACCCTGTTATACCCACATTTGAGAGAGTATAGACATAACTAAATATCACCTATAGCTAACCTTTATTTAGGAGAATTTCCTGGGTTAACTCAAGAAAGAAAAGCTGACCTATTGGAATTAGTCTCCAGTGTTGAATCCTGTTCATGTTTCAGGGTTTGTAATCTCTGTTGGGCTTGGGGCTACATGCATCAGTATGATCATAGATCTTTTTGATGTGTATATGCATACCTACCTACATATATGTATACACAATACTATATATACATATGTATGTGTATACACACATATACTCTGTGTGTGTGTGTGTGTGTGTGTGTGTGTCTGTGTGTATGTGTATTTTGCTGGTTCCCAACCCCCTACTCTGTTCTGGGATGTATCAAGTCCCAGCTCCTCACCCCTGAACTGTAAAACCCATCACCAGAGAGTGTCCCAGATAACTTCATTTTCCTAATCTTTTTTTTCCTCTGCCAATGCCCCTGTCCTTCCCCAAGTTCCACACATCTTGTCATTGAATGGAAACTTTGTGTTCATATCAGTCCTAACTCTGAACCTTCTCCAAAGTGTGTTTATGTGTGTATGTATGTATATAGATATACATATATAAAATACATGTATATATAATATGTTTATAGACAATATGTGTATGTGTGTGTGTGTGTGTGTGTGTGTGTGTGTGTGTGTGTGAATGTATGTATGAGGTACCTAGGTGGCTCAGTGGATAGAGTGCTGGGCCTGGAGTCAGGAAGACCTGAGTTCAAATCCAGCCTCAGATGCACACTAACTGTGTGATTAAGACCCTGAGCAAGTCACTTAACCCTGTTTACCTTAATCTACTGAAGGAGGAAATGGCAAACCACTATGGTATCCTTGCCAAGAACATCCCATGGATAGTATGGTCATGAAGACTGAACAGAATTGAATGACTAAACAACTATACATACATGCATACTTACATACATGTGTAGGTATATGCATACATTTATTTATATATGTATATGTGTCTGTGTCGCTCTGTCACATAACTGCCTTGCATAGAGCTTAAATCTGCCTCACCATTCTTCCCATTGTCTCTAGTTCTGCTGTGTGGGACCAAGCAGAAAAATCTAATTCCTCTTCCACACCATAGGTCTTCAAATATCTGCCACAATTGCCATTTCTAAAATGAAGGTTTAATGCTGTGATTGCATTGTTGGAGAAACTTGAGTGTTTTCTGATGGCCTCTAGGATAAAATGCAGAATTCTTAGCCTGTCATTTTAAACCACTCATCAGCTACCTCTGACCTGTTTTTCTAGACTGATTTTACTTTACTTCTCACAAATTCTGCGTTCAAAACAAATTGGTTTGCTTAACCTGTATCCAGCATTTCCTCTCTACCTTTGTTCAGGTTTTCCCTCATGCCTAGAATGATTTTTTCTCTAGCCATTCCCAGCTCCCTTACAACCTCAGCCTAGTGCCATCTCCCTTCCCAGGTCTGTATGGATTGACTATCAACTCCTAGCTGGAAGTACTCTCCATATCATTTCTTTGTATTTTCTTGAAAATATTTTGCATTTGCTTATCTATGTGCATTTTGTATCCCCCCAGTAGAATGCAAATCCTTGAGGACAGGGAGTTTCTGGATAATTTTGTATATTTGTTTTTTTGTCTTTGTCTTTGTATGCCAGAACCTAGCACTAAGCCTGGTATATAGTAGGCACTTCATAAATGTTGTGTAACTGAATATAATTATGGAAGCACCATCATATATAAAGTAGATTTTCATGTGGACTAATTATCCCAGAAGTATTACGGTAATCTTTACTCCTAGGGCAGGGGTATCTCAATACTATGTGCCCATTTTCTGCAAATAAATTCTAATGCTCTTGAAAGTGTTTACCAGTCTTTCTCATGTGCATACATAGAATGAGAGGGGGTTGTCCTTATTTTGTTTTGTTTTCTTATTTTTCTCTTAATTGGACCTGTGACTTCATTAAATAATAGGGAGCTGCAATAAAGAATTCCCTCTACCTCTACCAAGTGACTCTTAGTGCTATAGTTGCATAGTTGCAATTTAGTCTCATAAGGTTAAGTGACTTGCCTTGGGCAACATGGCCTGTATGTGTTAGGGGTGGGACTTGAATCCAGGTCTTCCTGATGATACTATGCTACCTCTTGTCTATGGTCTAGGCCAAGAAAATGGTGTGGGTTGTAGTCTCCTCATAAAACACATGATATACAGTGAACATGAACAAGGGCAGGGATTACCAAGTGCTGGTCCTTACTTGAGGAACCTTCTTTGCTCAATTTAATGTGTCATCAATCTGGGGGCCAGGGATGGATAGTGGGTCCCTTGCACTGCCTAGAACACAGTGCATCTGTGGCTAATCAATCTGGGTAGGGGAGGAATGTCTAGTACTATACACTCTAGCTCAGTACAATGGTGGTAGACCCCATTAAGTGTAGTGAAGCAGATTGTTCCTGGCTGGCAACATTCTGTCATCCTGGCCTTTGATACTGTGCTCTACATAGCTCTTCCTCAATGTTGAATTATTTGACATTTAGACCTCTTCTAGAATGTTTCTTGGCTGCAATGTGATTGAGGTCACTCTATATCTGATAGAAAAAGGATCTCTATTGCCATCCTGGACTCAGGTGGCTTTCCAGATGGTTTGAGCCCTGGTCCAGTGTCCTGATATATCCTTGTCTCTGCCTCTCTGATACTGTCAAAAGGTCCTGTTCTTTCTCCTGTATACTCCAAGGCTGACTCATATGTGGAAGGCAACCTAGGTTTCCTTCTGAGGATTGGTGGCAGCAAGGAAGAGATAGAGAAGGGACTGTCATTGTCACATCTTGGCGGGAGAAGGGGGGAAAGAAGAGAGGATGTGACCAATATAAATCAAACACGTCAGAGATGATAGAAAGATGGGAAAATATTTCATAGGGTCGATTCTCATCATTCTTTTTAATCTGACATCTTATTTCACAAACATAAAGTGTTATAAAAATGTCTTTTTAAATGAACAGAGGGGAAAAAAAGTTTCAAATGTATAGGAGACTGAATAGTTTCCCTGGCCTTACGTGACATTCTGCATAGGAAGGAAGAAAGCAAATTCATGGGTTGTGAATCTGCCCTTGTCTCTTGGCTCATTGAACAATAAAGTATTTCAATAAATTGTATTTCCTTACATGACATAGAGAGTTCTCTATGTTGGCCTTTCCCTACTTAACTCTAGCTGTCATGCACTGTAGACTCTCAGAGATTTTGGTTACTCACCTTGGAATCAGTCTATTGACTTTCACCTCTGCTCTTTTCTCAGGCCATCCAGTTGATTTCCTGGTTCTGGTGTGCTTACCCCAGAATTATCCTAGACTTTTCTCTCTCTTTTACCTCCATCCTATGGACAGTCAGTTGCCATGTTCACACCCATATCACCTCTCTCCTGAACTACAGCAATACCCTCCTAATTGATTTCCCTGCTTTTCATTTCTCTTCTCCAATCCATCTTCCACACAGTTGCCAACATCTTGCTGTTGCCAAAAACAGGCATTCCATCTCCCACGTCTCTATCTTTGCACGTTCTGTCTCCCATGTATAGAATGCTTTCCTTCCTCACCTCTCTCTCTTGGAATATCTATACGGTCAGAAGACTAAGACTTTTGTAAGTGCTACATCTTATGTGAGACCTTTCCTAATTTCTCCAGTTTTTAGTCTTTTCTTCCTCCTCAAATAATAACAGGTTACTTTTTGTTTATATTCTGTTCCATTAGAATTAAAATCTTTGAATCCAGGGAATGTTTTTCCTTTTGTCTTTGTAGTGCCCAGCACATAGTGGGTACTTAATTAAGTTGTTGGTATTAAATCCATGTGTTCGCTGACCTTGTGGAGTTTATATCCTTATAGGAGGAAATAAGACATGCAACATATACTTATTATCTGTGTTATATCATAGTGGCTAGAGTGATGGACTGGTCTTGTACTCCAGAAGACCTGAATTCAAATCCTTCCTCAGCCACTTACTAATGGTGTGACAATAGGCAAAATGAGTAAATATGGGGAATAAGGCTTAAAAGATTGTTTAGAGACTGACTATGGAGAATCTTGAGTTCCAGACTTAGGAATTTTTATTTTATTTAG